GTTTTTTTCGTAGGGAAAGACTACAGGAACCATACCCGCAGACGATATGCTAATGCTGGGTGATATGATATGTGGAATGGCTAGTGCTGACTACGCTAGGTTGGATAACGATGCTCTGGATCAGTACACAAAGCAGATGCAGAGAAAGTGTCCAATGAACAATGCCGAGAGACAGGCTTTAACGGATGCGTATGTCTCTGCAAATGGGATGTAAGTTAGATTATCGAAAAATATATAATGAACCATAATGGATCCTTTTTCCCGTTCGCAATCTGAAAATATCCGGTAAATATTAAAAAGGTACTAAAAGTTTCTTGAAATATATATCATAATCAATTCTATTTTTGATTTAAACTCCCGAATAATACAGAAAAAAAATACTTGCATAATGTAAATGTTTTTATTTCATGGGCTTCCTATATCGTTATTTTAGTATCAGAATAAAATTGTTTATAAAATGAATAGAGAAATTTACAACTATTTCGTGTTAAATTGCTTGTTACGCTTTGATATGGCATATTGTGTATACGTATTGTTGTTCACATATTCACTTAAAATTCATCCGTATTTTTACTAATATTTGAAAAAATACCAGTACATCTATTTTCATATTCTCTTCAGATAAAAATCAGCTAGTAAAATGATTATTTAAATGTTTCATTCATGGCTTTGTGTTTTTGATAAACAAGAAGAAATAATTTCCATCTACAGCACGACCAGCATCAGGTCCTATCAGCTGATTACCCTTGGGACTTTATTTCCCCTTTTGTCAGCGACCATTACAGATAATATAAGTGATGTAAGTATGTTTTAACTTAACATCACTACTTTAAAAGATATAATAGTTCAATGTAATTCATGTGACTGTGATGTTATTTTTTTGCATCCTTCCTCTGTTCTAAACAGACCAAAGATGACAGAGATTCCGGACGATTCAGAAAATGTTCATTGTTTTCTCTATAATGTATCTCTTATGCTGTGTTTTTATTACATTTTTGGTAATAATGAAAAATCGGTGGATAGAAAATTACTTCTTTACAGCAATAGGAATGAATGTTTCCATAAAGATTTTTTTTTCTACAAAGACTATATTATAAAATTGTTTTCCAGGGCACCATGTTAGAGGTGAGTGGCTCGTTACTAGATGAATACGTTCAAAAAGAGAAGTGTACAAACACACGGAAACAGTCAGGAAATGCGAATGAGTTTTCTGATGACGATGTTACTGCGTATATCGACGGGAAAAGACGACTCTATACAATTGTAGCACAAGCATTACAGTCGCTCGCTGATAGTACCGGACGGAGACGTAGAAGGTCGACAGGTGAGACGTTATAGGCTACCCTTTAAGGTCAAAAGGTTAGACGTTATAGTCTACCCTTTAAGGTCAAAAGGTTAGACGTTAAAGTCTACCCTTTAAGGTCAAAAGGTTAGACGTTATAGTCTACCCTTCAAGGTCTAAATGTTAGACATCGTTGGCTACCCTTTAAGGTCGAAAGGTTAGACGTTATAGTCTACCCTTTAAGGTCAAAAGGTTAGACGTTATAGTCTATCCTTCAAGGTCGAAAGGTTAGACGTTATAGTCTACCCTTTCAGGTCAAAAGGTTAGACGTTATAGTCTATCCTTCAAGGTCGAAAGGTTAGACGTTATAGTCTACCCTTTCAGGTCAAAAGGTTAGACGTTATAGTCTATCCTTCAAGGTCGAAAGGTTAGACGTTATAGTCTACCCTTTCAGGTCAAAAGGTTAGACGTTATAGTCTATCCTTCAAGGTCAAAAGGTTAGACGTTATAGTCTACCATTTAAGGTCAAAAGGTTAGACGTTATAGACTACCCGTTAAGGTCAAAAAGTTAGACGTTATAGTCTACCCTTTAAGGTCGACAGGTGAGACCTTATAGACTACCCTTTAAGGTCGACAGGTGAGACCTTATAGGCTTTCACTCATTTATAGACGTCATCCGGAAACGAAAAAACGATAACGAAAACAAAACTGCGCTATATAGCTACGATATCAAGTAAAGCTAGGTCTACTGACTAATGACATTTTCATTAAAAGATAGTCACAGAAACTTGAATACTCCAGCAAAATACTTAGCTGTTTATTTACCTTCATATCCGTATTAAAGAGGTGATTCATTTATTTATCTATTTATTCGTGTATTTACGGTGTTATTTATTTGTTTATTCAGTTATTTTGTTTATTTAAGATGTTATTTATTAACTTATTGATTTATTTGTTTGTTTATTTAAGATGTTATTTATTAACTTATTGATTTATGTGTTTGTTTATTTAAGATGTTATTTATTAACTTATTAATTTATTTGTTTGTTCATTTCAAAGAGGTTATTTTTTATTTGTTTGGGTTCGAGATTCTTTATCAATGTATTTAGGTCTTTATTTTAAGAGTTATTTATTTCTTAATTTGTTTTTTATTAATCTGTTTATCAAAGCGGCTCTGACGTGCAGTGACCTTCAAACACTCGGTACTACCGGCATGTCTGCCCTGTCCACAGCACAGCTCAGTAGCCTTGCTGACCAGGATTTTATCGACTGTTCGGCCACACTGGGAGGTGTAACGGACTACAGTGATGATCAGAGGACCACTTTACTGGGCGTCGCTATGAGAGACACTGTAAGTGGGTTAAAAACATCATATTCTGACCTTCCAAAAGAAAATTATATGAAAGAATCAAATTTTTTTTCATAATGAATTGTTCCCTTTCACCTTTGATTAAGGTATAGAATATTGCAATTATGAATGACATTGCACCTAAAGATTGATTATTATGCACTATCGTGCTTCACAAAGTAAAAAAAACGTGTTTTTAGTCAGGGATTCTATCTTATTTGTTCTTGGTAGGGAAATCAGATAAATTCACAAAGATATGGTGGCAGATTCGGGACATCGTAATATCGCTTCGTTTAATGGGAAGCGATATTGCGATATCACGATACCACGATGCGATATCACACGATAGCTCGATGCGATATAATAATGTCGGTTATATGTACCTTTAATACACGTAACAAATAAAACTAGTCAGAAATATTATGATTTTGATTCCGATCATTCCAGGTTTGGGGTGACCCTTCCACTTGGTCCGCTACCAATATCTACAATGCTGGGGTGATCTGCCAGGCACTAACAGAGACCCAGATTGGCACCTTGACGTTAGACCTGGACGCCGTTAGTCGGCTTGGTCAGTTCAGTGGCTGGGACAGTCTCAAGGTCGGGTCAGGTTTTATTTTTTTAATGATACTGGTATGTTAAATTTGACAGTAGAAAGTACTAATGTTAGTACCATGAACAAGTGATTAAAATATTCTATTCAAATAATTGATGATCAAGTAATTAAAAAATACCAATACAGCAATAACATTTGAACTGCATCTAAAAATCGAGCTAAAGTAATATCTACATGGTGATCTCTGAATAAAGATACAAAGAAAGAAGACTCTGTGTTTCGGAAGTGCAAGCGCCTTGTGCTTCATCGACGATATGTGATATGTAAACCCTGTGTTCCTAGTTGACATGTCAGCTGTTAACGTCTTACAAAGAAATCGTGATATACGGAATATGCTCCTGGATGTCTACCTGCGAAACGTCAACACTGTTTGGGAAAGCAGAAGTGTTACTATCTAGAACCGGAAATTTTACAATTAGAGGAATCGAAATCATCACGCTTATTAAATAGCTTGGTATATTTTATTATCGTTTATTTTTCTTAAAATACATATAGTAACAGATAATGTAACTGTGTCGAACAGTACACTCTTCGGTAAGCGATGTTAAGGACCAAAACATCTTCGATACTCCAGGGGTTCCGATCACTTCATCCTCTATAATCCAGGTGTTACGATCACTACATCCTCGATACTCCAGGGGTTACGATCACTACATCCTCGATAATCCAGGTGTTACGATCACTACATCCTCGCTAAATACTCCAGGGTTACGATCACTACATCCTTGATATTCCAGGTGTTACGATCACTACATCCTCGCTAAATACTCCAGGGTTACGATCACTACATCCTCGATACTCCAGGGGTTACGATCACTACATCCTCGCTAACTACTCCAGGGTTACGATCACTACATCCTCGATACTCCAGGGGTTACGATCACTACATCCTCGATACTCCAGGGGTTTCGATCACTACATCCTCGATGCTCCAGGGGTTACGATCATTACATCATCGATACTCCAGGGGTTTCGATCACTACATCCTCGATGCTCCAGGGGTTTCGATCACTACATCCTCGATACTCCAGGGGTTTCGATCACTACATCCTTGATACTCCAGGGATTACGATCACTACATCATCGATACTTCAGGGGTTACGATCACTACATCCTCGATGCTCCAGGGGTTACGATCATTACATCCTCGATACTTCAGGGTTTACGATCACTACATCCTCGATAATTCAGGGTTACGATCACTACATCCTCGATACTTCAGGGTTTACGATCACTACATCCTCGATGCTCCAGGGGTTACGATCATTACATCCTCGATACTTCAGGGTTTACGATCACTACATCCTCGATGCTCCAGGGGTTACGATCATTACATCCTCGATACTTCAGGGTTTACGATCACTACATCCTCGATGCTCCAGGGGTTACGATCATTACATCCTCGATACTTCAGGGTTTACGATCATTACATCATCGATACTTCAGGGTTTACGATCACTTTCACTCTTCATCCCTCGAACATGTCATGGCAAAATTGAAGGTTCCACGTGCGACACCTTTGTGGACAAGACGTAAAGACTAGTTTTATCCTTTGATATACATCAATCTAATCTCGAGGTCGCACAGCAGTATATCGTAATGGATTTGAAACTGGGTGTCGCTCCTTTATAATCTTCAAAACAAGATTATTAGCCTGGAACCATTCAAATTGCTTGGTTTGTGTCTTCAATTTTACCCCCAAATGTTTCAGGGGTGCAGAGAGTGAAATGATCGCAACCCCTTAAGTATCGAGGATGGGATCTAAGTTAAGGTGTGATGAATATAGAAACGAAATTATGTTTTATCATTATGATGGCATTAGATATAATAGGCACTAAATGAATTTCATCTAAATTAGTATGAAAAAGTGAATAATCTAAAGTCTACTTCTGAAGTTAATTGATCATTTATCATATTTCCAGAAAAAAGCAGTGTATGAACGCTGGCTTACTCTACTGAAGGGCGGAGACAGTAGTACGATCACGTCCAGCGAACTCCGCTCCCTAGGACACATAACTTGTGGAGCGGACTCCAGCCACATTGATGTCATTCCTCATACCATTTATCAGTTAGTGCCAACCTTACAAATAGGCTACTTTTGTAACAATTAGATAACTTGTACGTTTTCAAAAATACATTCTTATATGTAATGACCTCTAATATTCAAACAAGTGCTGTCATTATTTCTTGACTCGAGTCATCTGTTAAGTTTTGAAAAAGAAATTGATAGCAGTTGTAGTTGCCATTGAAAGTTTTCAATCATTTTTTTTCCTGAATTAGAAACGGAGGTTGTTTTATTATTATTACATTATCATTGTCTATCTATTATAAGCTAACCGGTAATAAACATTTATATACAGTGTATTACTGTATCTGAAATGTCTCATACATGAACCGTGAGTGGAAATGCGTTCCCAATTATTATGATATCTCTCTTACCACACCGATTTCAAGGTTTATGTAAATAAGACCTTAAGACTGGCTTTGTCAGAACTGAGGCAGCATATTTGTATAGGAACATGTTGCAACACAATAAAAGAAAGGATATAAATATACATTCTAAGTATATTCTGGTAATTTTGATTTTGATCAAACTCAAGTCATCATTAGCAATATTAGTATTCAATAAAAACGAAACGTTTTATAATAATTACTTATTATCTGTTAAAGGGAGGTAACTCCAGACAGCTGGATTTGAATTTAAATAACCTATATTTAGGTCCATAAATCCCATAAAATGTTTACCTGTTATCAGATTGACTACAATCATTAACATAAAATTTAGTATTATTTTGTAAATACTTCCTTAATTATTTTGTTCTTTTTGTCGTTTTCATTGGTTTTCCTTCTTAACTTTACCAGTATATTTGAAGGTACAAAATGGTATCTTTTATATTCTAGGAATGCTGCGGACTCTATCGGAGAGCTTACCAGCTGTGACAACACTCAGCTACAATCGTTTGCGGCCCTAGCAAAAGCAGCCTACGGAAGTGACGTCACCACATGGTCTTCTGCCGTGATATCTAACATTGGAATAACAATCGGTGTGTAGACATTTCTTACAAATCATAGTTTCGTTGCATCTGATATAATACGACAAATACATAATAAGACCACAGTATTATTCTTGATGAATGGATGTTCCTAAGTCCATTATTTGATAATCGACATCATATTTTGTGGTAGAAGTTTCTACAAAACCTACATATTTTACACCGTAATTTAGACTGCCATATTCTTATAACGATAATGTATAGGCTGTATACTTCTATTACAGGTGGTTTGCAAACCAGTGATATTAGTCTGTTATCGACCACCCAGATCAATGCTATCGACTCCAACCACATCTCATATATCCCGGCTGAGATATTTGCAGTAAGTCAGATATTCTTAGATATAATCACAGTGTATATGTTTTGTGTAGTAGTTCGCTATTCATCATAAAATATCCATGTTTTTATGCAAATGGCAAAGATTCTAACCGATTTTAAACATTGGAAGCTCAACATAATGCGTCAGTCACATGTTCATGATTTCAAATTATGATTGGTTGTGTAAATAACACACATTTGTTCAAATTAAAGACTGTGTTTCTGATGCGGGGAAAGTCGTCAGGTTTTCAACACTCATTGTTGTGAAACAAATTTTCCAATGTTGAATACAGAAGTCAAATATATAAATATATAGTGAACTGCTCCAGTTTCATCCTATCGTTTGAAAGCGGTTGTGTAAAAATTGCTGGCTTTTTTTCCATTCTTTAAAATATTGACACCAAGAACTAAAAACAATGTCAATTAACCGTAAACACATTTAAACGCTAATGACCCTTTATTGTGTAGGAGTAAAAGAAAGCACACGGATGTGAATCATTTTAATAGAGAAACAATTGTTATCATTAAATACAGGGCTTCTCCGTGGACCAGTTCATGACATTTAGTACTTCTCAAGCATCTTCAACAACATCTGAACAGAGGGCAGCTCTAAGTTCGGCCCAGCTCGCTGCTCTTTCCCTTGATTTCAGTACATCATCTGGTAAGTTTCGCGAGATATCTACTGTGCTCAGTGTAATTGATGACACATGATTGATACCTATAACGGATGGTTCTTATAGAGGATTTAAATAGCCAAATCATGCGGATGTTATAACTAAGTTCCTTTCTAGCAAATCTTTAATGGTATATTCCCTGATCAATGTTGCATCCGCGCCCATTGTCAAGAGGTTTTTATAAAACATACCAAACAAGATCAAGTATGAGATAATTACTGCAGGAGCACAGTTATATTTTCGCTAACGAATATCACAAAAACTGATTCATATTGAAACAGATATGTGTTTTGAATCCTTGATACAAAATTATGCAGAATTCGTTTTTTTTCAACAGAAAATGGCGCTGGTTCAATTACAGTCTGCGGGATACTGTTTTTACTTCTTCCACTGGTAATGGTGTACCATCGGCAAAAATGACTTGATATAGAGATATAAGGGTTGATGAAATAATGAAGTAAGAGAAGACGAGATAATGAACATTACACATTTTATTGATGGAATTTTCAGACACAATAGAGTTGAGTTCATAATTCATAATTGCTTGCGTTATAATGAACCTTGGCACACATTGAAATGTTAACAAGTATATTTCCCAGCCGAAATAACACTCTTACTTATTATTTTACAACTAACACTCATATTATTTATAATAACATTGTATGGCCGAATACGCTATAATTCAATGTAAATAACCGTTTCAGCCGATATTTTCATATATAATAATAAGAAAGGGTATGAAAGAATGTAATATAATATTAAAGAAATTTGATATTCATTGTTTATGTTCTGCATTTGAATAGAGAATGTTTAAAAATATTCAAAGGATATGTGTAATTAAGATAAAAAAATGTTTACTCTCCGTTGTGTTTTCCGGGATTTCTTTCTTTCATTACATTTGTCAATTTATTTGTTTAATGATATTTCAATAGTGGAACAAATAAAATGTCAATTTCGAATTATTTCTCGTAAGGATTTGAATATGTTTTATTTACTTAAATCAGTCTTAGCTATACATTCCAAGAATTATTTGTGTTATTGTAGTTATTGTAGTTGTTACGTACGGTTTGTATTTATCGGTACAGTTAATACATTTTTTATATAGAGTGTTTTAACAACTCTTGATTTTTTGTTAATTGTGTTTATTACAGTATTCTGAGTGGAATGTCACCAACAAACCTTGTAAACAATAGGGATAACTCAGTTTAAAAAAAAAATTTCCTATATTTATTTTCCAAAATCTAGATAGTAAAGATCAACTGACAATGCTGTTTTTCAATCTCAATTGATGTTACCAAAAAGTGTGAACTTTAATGGGGTTTTTTTGTTTTAAAATGTAATTCTAATAGTGTTTGAATGTAACTTATCATAAAATGAACAGTATCACCATCATTATGTTAACAAAATTAGTTAAAATCACAGTACTTGGGCAGGAAGGAGATTGTCGGTACTGGGGAACTTTTCAGCAATTTTTTTTTGTAAATCACAAACGTTGAAAAAGTCTTACTTTGATATTTTTCAGGATAAGTCGATAGTTTGAAACATAAGATATGATATCTATACTGTACGTTTCATTATTTTTATTTTAGAGCAACTTATTGTACCATGAATCCAATCAAAAATAGAAATGAAAAGAATTTCAGAAATTATAAAGACGGAATGGGAAAAAACCTGTAGTTCTGTTCTTACCATAAATAAAATGATTTTCTTACATTAATTATCTATAATGTTTGGCCTACTCTTATGAGTATTATTAGAGATTGCTTGGTTTAGATGAATGAAAATACAGCCATTCACATGAAATACAGACATTAAGTGGATATACTTACAAGAAAGGCCGGTGAACTGAATTAAATGTATGCTAAAAGTCCATATGAATTTGGCATGAGTCATCACACGTTTGTGGTAAATAAAATTAGTAATGAACTTTTTGCAGTTTTGCAGCAATGTGTATTGTACCTGGAATATCTTAACTCAATATGGATTATTGAAGTAAGATTGATGGAAAACGGAATTAAACCGTTGTTGTTAAAAATGCGCTGGTCGCTGATTAACACGGATTCGTGTTCACTTAAGCATTACATGGTTGTTATTTTCAAGATACACCTTCGTATGTGTGTATTACCTAACATGGTCTATCCTCGTTAACAAACATAATTTGTTTTACTTATATTACGAAATGTAGTATAATTATAGGTGTAATAAGCAAGATGACGATAATTCGATATAGCTGACAAATGTTTATCTTGACATAAGAATCTACCTGGTTCTCCCACCTAAATGATGACGTTGTTAATATATCTTATTAAAATATGTTTTCAAGTATTATGAATGTTGGTTTTTTTATATTTAACAGATTAAAAATGACACATGTTTCATTGAATGTATACTGCAGAACAATTACCAAACTGATAGATGTTATTCCATGCATATGTATATATATAAATATATATAGAACGTAACGCCAAAATTATTGTTATTGTTGTAAGCAACTGCTTAGCTCTTGTGTTTGCTATCAATATATATATAGTTCAATTAGATGAGAACATTGTGTATCGTTTAAAATACGTAAACATAAAGGCCAACAAGGCAAATAAACTTGATTATCGCTAACGTTTTCAAGCCGTGTCTCGGCTATCTTCAGGCGATTACGTTAGTGTCTTGGTAACAAGATTATGACGTAATACAATCAATAAAATATACGGGGAGATAATAATGTTATTAATATTTTCAAGGCGTAACAACACTAATTAATTAGCATTTAGTGCCGTCTTGAAGAGTTTGACAAACATGTCCTCTTTGCATAGTCTCTTTGTTGTACTTGAATCGCACATCTTATGGAAAGGGTACACCCAGAATAGTTCCTTGCCACAAGTGTCTAAATGTGTACTGAGTGGAATATTACGAGTTGCGGGTGTACGTATCTGTTGCCTATGGACGCCAATTCTTTCTGATAATGCATTACCCGTTTGTCCAATATAGTTTTCGCGGCAAGTAGCACAGGTAAAACAATAAATAAGATTCTTGCTTTTGCAAGTCAAGTCACTGTTTGACTTAATTGTTTTGCCGGTTTTTTTTTTAAGTTAAACAGTGTCCTTCTTGTATGTACTGGCAGGTTCCACACCTTGTATCCCCGCATTTCGACAGTGTGTAATCGCGCTGTTCAGCGGAACAGCTGTGTCGTTACGCCTTAAAAATATTAATAACGTTATTATCTCCCCGCATAAATTATTGATTGTATTACGTCATAATCTTGTTACCAAGACATTAAAGTAATTGCCTGAAGATAGCCGAGACACCGCTTGAAAACGTTAGCTATAATCAAGTCTATTTGCCTTGTTGGCCTTTTATGTTTACATATATATATATATATATATATCGGACTTGTAACTATGCCTTTTCAAAACACAGCTCTCGTACATCTTTTGGATAATAGCAACATCCAATCCCATAACTCGGAGTTTTAAAAGATGCAGGTTGATAAAAATACGGGGAAGTTTTATGGTAGTCTTACCAATCTCAATGAGAAATATTCTATTTGTTTGTGCGCTATGAAGCTGGATGTGTTTGATGCTTGTTAAAATACCTACTGACTCCATTTTGAGAATGTGACGTTGCTTTACTGGAGTGACCAATTGGCGGGTGTTGTCGATGAAGCAGTAAAAACTTACCCTTCTGGAACACATGGTCTTTATCTCCTGGTACCTTTTCGTGAGTCTCCGTATAAATTTTTCTTTTCTTCTATATTTTCCTCCAGTTTTATTGAATTTGAGTTTGGATTATGACTATGATGGCATGTTTTCTTGAAGTATTTTTACTGACCACTACTATTTTCTAAGTAACATCAGTCTGGTTATAGAGAGCTCAACATCAAAGGACGTTGTCTTCAAATTGTGAAATGAAAAAAGGTGTTAATGAAATATATTAAACCACATTTCTAGTACCTAGCAAGCGTTACAAATATACAAAATGAAATACATTTTATATACATTTAACGTGCTACAATACTTTTAAACAACTGTAGTTTTGTTTACACAGTTTTGTCTGACAAAAAAAATCTATAACTGATCGATTTCCAATCACATAATGCTACAGAAACTAAGTGTCCCAATTCTATTTGATGGCATGGCTTAGAATTTCTGTATATTTATGCTTAAGTAAATATGTGTACACAAATGACTACGCAAACAATTTCACGTTCCGTAATCGACAAATTTAATGTATTTGAGGTTATAGGAAAAACCTTTTATTTAATGAAGCTTTTAATCACCACGCACAAAAACGTGTTAAAGAAATATTATAGAACCAATTAGTTACAAAAAGATATGCAAGTGTATAGTACAGTTAACCTTTCGAAACAAAGATTGTACAATAGACCGCAAGCGGAAAACACCTTCAGTTACAACGCTTAAAATATGAATATTTGGCTGACGTACATGCACATGATACATTATGAGTTGCGAGTATGAATAAATGGAACAAAGATGGGAATCACGATATGATATATTTCACTAGCGAAAATAAAGAACTATGATTGGTGAATATTAGTTTATTTATTGCTATTTGTAGCGATTTGTTGTAATTGTAATGCTGCGTAATCGGAATTGGGGTTAAAGTCTCCATACACCGGCAAAGAATTCTTATCTTAATCAGAAGTGACAATACAATGATCTTCAGTGTGATTAAAACATATTTTCTCTCTCTATAATTATATCTATCACATTACAGATATAAAAATAGGATAGGTTTTTCCTCTTGTTTAACAAACGCCAATTACATTCTGGGTAGAAAGGATATTCTATTTCAAACGGACGAAAACAATCTTAAAAAATGTTTAGATAAAAGAAACGAGTAAATTTATAAAAAAATTGAAAGTTATATAAATTAAAAGTGAACGGGAAAAAACTATAAGATTATTAACACTTTTTTATTTGGTGCAATAAATTCTTTCTCATCATTACTTTTCGGAAAATTTCTGCAATGTTGAGTTAGCGCCTCTACAATCCTTGCTAACATACTGAAACTGCATTTAGTGCCACTATTACGTAGTTCATTGATTTAAGCGCAAAACTCCAAAGGAAGATACCCACTTTAATATTACGTTTAAAATACGAAAGAACATTACAATATAATATAGATACGAAGGTGCTTATCATTGCAAGTATAAGACGATTACGGTTTTTTACGATTAAGTAGCACATGTTGACTGTATCATGCTATCAGGTGTAGTTGTTACCTGCTTGTGTAACAAGTCTCTGTTACACTAACCATTCGAAAATAGGTCATAAATGTATCACGTATCAACATAAGCATACATAATCTTCTTTGTATAATTCCATTAATATTCGTCAACTACCAAAAGTGTATACATTTTTCATAAACGTGTTTTCACAATGTATTGTATTGATCGTGACATGCTA